GGTCAAAAATCGAGTAAAAAAGGTAAAGAATTGGACATCACCTGGAAAGGACCAATTATATGGTTTCTGGCTCAAATATTTGACCATTTAAAATGCAATATTGGCCAGGCAACTGAATGAAATTTTACAAAAGGGCCAAATTGATGAATGGTTGACAACTTACGAAAATACGTTACGACGTCCTAGGCCCCTGGGTGGGGCCCGACTAGTAACCAATGCCAAATCTGGCAAAACAACTGGCTGCTGTGATACAATTGTATAATAATAATAATTGAATATCAGCCTTGACCTAACAATTGTTGATAAGAAAGACAATATTTTTTGATAGTGGATATGAGAGTACCTAGAGACAGAACAGAAGAGAAAGAACTCGAGAAGGTAACAAAATATAAAGATCTGCAAACAGAAGTAGAACGATGGTGGCAAAAGAAAGCAAAGGTAGTACCAACAGTAATAGGCACCTTGGATGCAACCCCAAACTGAAGCACCACTTGAACATTTTTGGCATCACCATCAGTCAATCACAAATCACAACTTAACTTCAGACAGCTTCCATCCTCCGATGATATATTTAATACATCAATTCATACCATCTACTGATAGGTATGTTAAAATGCTAAATTCAGTCTGAACATCTGGCTGACTATGGAACAAAGCATAATGATTGGAATAAACAGTAATAAAATTCTTTTAAAAAGGAGATGCAATTGAATCTGAATATGAACTTGTACCATTAAGCCCCATCATCTTGCCAAATCAAGAGTCCTGGAAAACTCTTGAAAGCTTGCATTCCATTCAGTGATTTTGTGTTAGGTGGATTCTGAAAGGTCTTTTAATAAGAAACTACAAGATTCTCTTAGTTTTCTGCCCAGACATATTGGTCTAGTTCTTCCATCTTGAAACTATTTGCACTTCAGCATACTGATGTTGTGATCTGTATTGTTGTTAATAAACTGTCATTTATTATTACCATAACCAAGTGATGAACATTTCATTTGTAAATCCGGTCTCAAATCCTGTTTGAAATCCTTTCTCAGTTGTGAATGATAGAGCAAACTGCCTGATTTCCCAACCTCCATTTCCATATGTGAAAAATAAAAAATAGCTAATTATCTTCCTACTAAGCTTGTTATCTGTGAAAATGAAAGGAAGAAAGTACATTTGGCATTCCGATGCAATTCATCTCACAGCACTAACATGCTATAAACAGCAGATTTTCTAGCTGCGTCATGGTGACTTAGGAAGTTGCTACTTCCTAAAGATTTGATACTACAGTTGCTCATTTATAATTGTAATAATTAATCACATTAATAATTTTTGATTAAATAGAACCAGTACAATTTCCATGCTGGTTGTTTTGTGTATCTCTGCAAACACATGTTCTACCATCCTGGGTAATTCTTCACAGGGGTATATGTGTGCTTTGTGTAGCAAGCAAATCCTGAAGACCAAACTAAATACGAAGTTTGACAGATAGTTTGCATGTTGGCTTTGAAAGTGATGGCCACAGCAAGTCACCACAATTGAGATTGGGACCCCAAAAAATAGGAAATATGGAGAGCCAGTTAGGTGTAGTGGTGAAGCTGTTGGCCTAGAAACCATGAAACTGTGAGTTCTAGTCCCACCATAGGCATGAAAGCCGAAGCAGTGATGTTGGGCCAGTCATTCTGTCTCAGCCCTCCTCACAGGGCTGCTGTTTTGGGGAAAATAGGAGGCAGAAGGAGTATTATGTTCACTACCTTGAGTTACTTATAAAGTAATAAAAACAGAATAAAAATCTGATAAATATAGAGAATGCTCCCATATGCAGTACTACTAGTAAACCGAAAAAACAGTAACACTAATGGATGTTAATTACACTACAGTTTCATTGTATTTGTTAGTCTCAAACAATTACCTTAAGATATTCAATCACAGTGCTAAAATAGTTTCCCGGAGGTTTCTGAATATAGTCTCTTTTCATGCACTATTTGTTTTAATTATTTCATAATTTGATGTCTTTGCTATGTAAAGCTATGTAAAGATCATGGCTAAAAAAGCTGACATGTTTAGTTATTTTATATTATGTACAATCTACAGGCTGCTCAACTCCTAATGACTGAATGCTTGTAATGTACAGCTGTCATTAGATTTTTGTAATATTACCTGTATACGAAAAGATTTGGCAACTGAGTTTGATGCAGAATGCAGTTATACCTTTATCTATTATTGCTATTTTAGATTAAGAGGCTATGGCTACCATATTTGAATTACACAATTTCAACTGCTATTGAATGGAAGCAATATTTTCTATATCTTTAGTGCCATCTAATCCAGATTGCAAAATCCAGGTTTTTGCAATCAAGATACGATTGTCCTGTATAAACCAAGACAGGCTTACCTATTCGCTAAGTCTTGTGGGAATATCTTGGCCAATATATCTTTTAATGTAACCTTAATGCAACATTTGGTTCTGATGGTTGGCTTGGGGACCCAATCCGGGTGCTCCATTCTGGAGATGGCTGGTAGTGATAGAAGAGATTCCCTGCCATATTGATCATACTCTGGTGTGTAGTTTTTTAATTTGTGTTTTTTTACTTTAATGGTGTTATATTTATAATTTTATGCTATGCCACTCAGAGTTGCTTTGAAAAGTGTAAAGGGCATATTATAAATTTAACAAATAAAGTTTGATAAATATTGTAATTTAAATTATTTCTTTCCTAAATATTTAAATCAAATAATATCAGGTTTTTAAAAGTTAGGAATTTAAATACATGCATTTAAACTCTACTTTGTTTGAGAATTATCTTTTTCTCAAACATCTACTCTCACCTCTGTAACTTTGGGAGTACAATGGACAGCGGCGGGTTACTCTGAAGATCTCTCTTGTCCAAAGGAAAGCCCATATTAAAACTAGAAGAAGGGGGTTGAAACTAAATAGGAACACAGACATCTGTGTCTGTGATATACTGATCTCTGATATAACGTATAGGCATTTGGTTTATCAACTATCTTGTGAAATTTAAATGTATTGGTAAACAGTGTGACCGATTTTTGGTTTAGACCTGATGCGATGGTAGGAGTGTGTGAGTGTACCTAATTCTGACCAACTCCGGATGCTACTGTTATAAAAAGTCTTTATTAGCTGTCTTGAAATTCTTGAAATAGCCTATAGTAAAAAAAAATGTTCCAAATTGAAAAAGCCAAAGAATAGAATAATGGCAAAGAAAGAAAGAAAGAAAGAAAGAAAGAAAGAAAGAAAGAAAGAAAGAAAGAAAGAAAGAAAGAAAGAAAGAAAGATTGCAGTCACAGAAAAAAGCCGTATTTTGCATTCTAGTGTCTGATTTTGTGCATGGTGCTTGGTGTGTGTGTGTGTGTGTGTGTGTGTGTGTGTGTGAGAGAGAGAGAGAGAGAGAGAGAGAGGGAGGGAGAGAGAGAGGGGGGGGGGAGAGAGAGAGAGATGTCCGCCTCAGGGCATTGGTGCAAAGCTGCTGAAAAGCCTTCAAAGATGGATTCCCGAGCAGATCTTTTGATGGACCAGCAGCTGGCATGAGGTGGGCAGGTAGGAGAGACAGGAGGCTCTTGGCTGAGTCAGTAAGGAGCGCTCTGCCTTGAACCTGGAAGCCTCTGGGTAGCCAGTTCTCCTGGAAGATCGTCGGCCACGTACCTGGCACTTGAAGGCAAGAAGCAAGAGCACTTCAGCAGAGGATCAAGGGCAGTTCCACCCTCAGCTCCTTACAGTAGTCAAGCCCGAAGGCGGCGGCGGTGCCTTCCCGAAGCCGAGCCGGAGCCGCAACCGCAGCTCTCGGGCGCTGCATCGCTCCCGCCAGAAGAAGGGCGGGCGCGAGAGACAATGAGCCGGCTGGGTTACGCCGCAGCCTCATCTTTCTTTCCCGTTCCCGCCTTCCTGGTCGGTTGCTTCCCGTCCGCCCGACAGCCAAAGAGGCCGGGCTACCCTCAGGTAGGCAGGGGGTTCCCGCGCCTCCTTTTTAAGGGAAAGGCAGGGTCAGGCGCAGCCTCCTCCTCCTCCTCCTCCTCCTCCTCCTCCTCCTGCTCCCTCCAGGAGCCTCGCCGGCTCGCCCGGCGCTTAAACTTCAAAGCAGCCGAGAGCTCCGCGGCACTCCTGAAATGCCGCCGCCCACCTCGCTTCGGAGGGCTTTGCACGAGCGCGGAAGAAGCTGGGGGTGAGGACAAGGGGGCCTTGGCGCCGCCGCCGCAGCAGCTCGGAGCTGCCTCCGGAGGATCGCGAGTGAAGCGGGGCTGAAAGGCTGTGAAGGGGAGGGGGGAGAGGGAAGCCCGAGGGAACCCCCTCCTCTGCCCCCCCTTCACCCCGTAGCCCCGCACGCGCTCACCCCCCCCCATTGATCAATATTTGGTCATCTTGCTGCAACTTGCTGCAGTGTTTTAAGCGGGTAGTAGAGGGAGAGGAAGGAAGGAAGAGCCGGCGGGCGAGCGAGCGGGTGAGCGCGAAAGTCCGAGGCAGGCAGCGGGGCTCGTCAGGCCACTTAGCTCCCGATGTCCCCCGTGCTTTCGAAGAAGACGGCCGGGAGCATCCGCAAGCTGGCTCGGGAGGAGGAGGAGGATGCTGCGGCAGGTGATCCACAGAGGGCTCCGGTCGTTCTGCCACCAACTGGGCTTGTTCGTCAGCCGGCACCCTGTCTTCTTCCTCACCGTGCCCGCAGTCTTGACCATCATCTTTGGCTTCAGCGTCGTCAACCGCTTCCAGCCTGAAATGGACCTGGAGCTCCTAGTGGCCCCGAGTCACAGCTTGGCCAAGATCGAGAGGAGCTTGGCCAACAGCCTTTTCCCCCTCGACCGCTCCAAAAGCCATCTCTATTCGGACTTGCACACCCCGGGAAGGTATGGCCGGGTGATCCTCCTCGCCAAGCCCGGGGGCAATATTTTGCACCAGGCTGAAGGGCTGCTGCAGATCCACCGAACCGTGCTGGAAATGAAGGTGAACCACAAAGGCTATAATTATACTTTTTCCCATCTGTGTGTGTTGAGAAATCAGGATAAGAAATGCGTGCTGGATGATATAATTTCAGTGCTAGAGGATCTGAGGCAGGCTGCCCTCTCCAATAAGACAACTGCCAGGGTGCAAGTGAGCTATCCCAACACTAAATTAAAGGTATGCTCTTAATTGCATGCTTTTGCCGATTAAAGAAACAGCACTTCATTTCTTGTCCTCAGCAGCAAAGAGAAGCATTGATGTTGTATTTGTTGTTGTTTAATCAATAAGGGGTGATAGCAAGGGCATGCTTTTAACTGGGGATTCTGTGGGAGAGGATGGGGGCTGAAAGGGGGAAATGGAGCAGTTCAGAAGTCACCAGTACAAGCAAGAGCAGCAGCCTGAGCTAGGGGTGCAGAAGTTGTGTAGAAATATGCAACCTCTTGCTCCCAGCACAAACTGCCTTTGGCATGGGAGCATCTTTAACATAGACCAGAAGGGAGTCTTTTGACAGATGCAGGATAATAAAACAACCCTATAATGAGCTAATTGCAGTGATTCTAGGAGCTCTCTGCTCAAGGCTAAGCAGCAAGTCCAGGGTGAGAATTAGGCGTCTTACAATGGAGTCGAAACTTGGACTGAAACACCAGTGCAGCCTAGTTGTAGGAAAGCAAAATGAAGAGGGGTGGAATTATTTCTGTCCAGTTGGCAAGTTAGTCGATGTTATTTCTTTTAATATTTTAAAAAATAATGCTTGATAAACTATTAATAGTTTATTAATAATGGCTGTTTCCTCCTGGCGCAATAGAATTTCTCTGGAGCAGAAAGACATTTCAAAGGCCAATACTTTGCGCAGCAAACAGAATTTGGGTATAACCCAAAATGTTGACTATTGTTAGATGCCTTATCATCAATATTAGTGAGGTAGTGTTATGGCCTTTCCTTGAATACTAGCAAAGAATGCAAACTTTTAATTATCTTTAATATTGATAGGGTGTGTCCTAATTTACACGTAATTTTAGGTACTAGCACAATCCTTGATGGTATCAAAAAACTTACAATAACATAACTCTATTATGCTATAATAGATTTAGTTTTATCTGCAGCTCAAACTTTGTTTTCTCCATGTGTTTTATGGCAGTCAACACTTAGATTAGTACAGTTTTTAAACCACTAGCTGAAGATCAGATATGTCTCTGGCCATTTGCTGGGCACAGTCCAATCAAACCTGGTTCTATTTCATTGACATTAATACCACTATTTGGTCACAGATGTTCTTATCTTATTCGTATTTTTCTTGGATATAAATTTCATTAAACTTATTGGGATTTACTTTCAAGTAACACATATAGGATTGTGCAGTGTGTAACTCTCTCCATTATTGCCCTTGGGGATTCTCAGTATTGACCTTGTCTGGACAATGCCATTTCATTTACTATTTTTTCCAAGTAGAAAATTGTCTTATGGTAGGAAATAAAGTTCACACAGGAAGTGGATACATATTGTAAAGGGTAGCAAAGTGTCACACGGTAGTTATGGCAATATTTGTGCATTTTATTTCACACGAATTAGTTCAACTGAGGGGAACAATTTTCTCTTTATGCTGAAACTGAGGTTTCTAGAATATCATATGCTTGTTTCTAACTACTAAGTACTCACTCATCTTTTCTAAGGAGGAGAATGTTAACTTCAAAAACTAATAGATATCTACTGCAGTTGCTTTTTTATCCTTGGGGAATCTTTTTTTTTTTTTTTGGCAGATCATAGTTATAAAATGGTCAGGGCAAAGCTGGCTACTTTTTGCATTTGAATCTGAACCATAGAACTATTCCAGATTTCATCAACCTACCTATATGGCAGATCACACTTGTCATTCTTCATTGGGGAGAAGATAATGGTTTAAAAGTGGACACTCCCCATGGCGAGGGAATGTAAAGATTTTTGAAGGCTTTGGTGAAAGTTTGACTGATGTTGGTGGCACCTCTGATGAAGTCTAGGAGTTTGGATTACAGGCATTACTTGAGCAATTAACCCACGGGATCACAAGCATGTATTCTGGCTGGATAACGCTGAGACACCTTGTTCTTCCAGCAAACTCTGTCACTGAAGAATTGTGACATTTGGTGAAATGTGGACTCACAAAAATGCCTTGGTGTCTAATCTATAGTAATGATAGCAGATACTTCAGTCACCATTGCATCCTTAGAGAATCATCCATGTCAGTTTGGCAAATTGGAAGAAGTTTAAGAGCTTTCAGAAGCACATTAAATGTTTGCAAAACATGTGGAGCATTAAATCATGAATCTTGGACATGGAATAGAAAAATTAACAATCTTTGAAATGAAACAATTAGGATTGCAAATAAAATCCATAAGTGTGGACAAGATACTTTGAAATATTTGGATTATCACACCACACACTTCATTATCCTTGTAATAGCTAGAAATATCCAGTTAGGCAGAAGTACCATACATTATTCGTTATGAGAGATGGGAATACCGAGTGACTGGAAAAGGGATTGTATAACTAGAAATAAGACTTTACTTGGGAATTGGAATAAACAATAGTAACATGCAATTATCCCCACTTGGAATTGAGTAATGGCTGAACAATGATAGGCTCTCTTTCTTTTTTTTTTTTCTAGGTAGGCGGGTATTTTTCAAAAACATGGACTGCTGCATGAGACCTAGAAGCATTCTTGGGAAAAAAATCATACTGGAGAGTTGCTTTATATTATGCACCATGCCAATTTCCCATCTTAAAATTAAACATATTTTTTTTTTAAAAAACCAGGCAGGGTTAAGAACCTTCTGAGCCCCAAGAACCATTGGCACTTTGGAACATCATGTTGTAGATTCTAGAATCAAGATATCTTTATCACTAGATTCTTTAAATTGAGTAAGCCTGATGTTTCGGTGGTTCTGTTTCTACTTAATGGCCTGATTCCAGAAGTTAATATTATGTTTTGTGCTGTGTTTTGATCAGTTTTGGATCTATATCCAATAAGTAACAGAATAACAGAGTTGGAAGAGATTTTGGAGGTCTTCTAGTTCAATCCCTTGTTCAAACATGACATACTATATCTTTTAATCAAATAGTTTTCCAGTGTCTTCTTAAAAGCCTCCAGTGAGGGAGCACCACAACTTCTGAAAGCAAGCATTCCAGTGATGGATTGTTTTCACTGTCAGGAAATTTCTCCTTAATTCTATGTTGGGGCTCTCCTTGATAAGTTTCTACCATATCAGTTACTTCTTGTCCTGCCTTCTTGTCCAAAGGATCTGGAGATTACCTATTCCTTGCTCTCATTAATTGGTCTATTTAGATTGGGAGATTGTTTGTATATGGGGGTTATAGACTGCTAAATGATTGGATTCATACTTTGGAAGTGCTTCTGGAAAATGATGTTATCAGAAGCTTAGGTGGTCTTTTTGAAATGGAGCTGATACACAGCTGTGGCTTTTCCTGAACAGAAATGTCCTGGACAATTGATGGCATTTAGGATTACTGCTATAATAACTATATGTAGTTATAACTACATAGCAGCTGTCTCTCAAAAGCATATTAAATAGAGTTACATTATTCATAACAGTATCTGTAGTGATGTTATAAGTTTTCTATATTATATATCTTTGAAGAGTGATTGAAAGCTTGGCTTCAGTTGAAACACAACCACTAGATGGAAACATTTTACTCCAATTCTGCAAGAATTGTGTCTGTGCTCTGAGACGCAATTTGTACATCATACTTAGTTAGAGTCATTTGTTGAGATAGAGGGCTATAGAAATCAAATAAACAAAATAAACAGTTTAACCAAGTTTTGATAAAATCACTGATAGATGAATTTACATCACATACTAAGTCATGGTTTGTTTGCTTCGGACTTACATATTATGTGAATTCAGACACAGTGTTGTAATTATAAAGCTTAAGAGTGCTTGGGATCTAGTTATCTTTATAATTACAACATTGTATCTGAATTCACACAATCCATTATTCAGAAACAAATAAACCATGACTTAGTGTGTGATGTAAACTCAGCCAACAGTAGTTTTATCAAAACATGGTTAAACTATTTTGTTTATTTGGTTTATTTATTTGATTTCTATCCGAATGAATGATTCTAGCTAAGTATGACATACAAACCTCCTTCGCCTCCCCCTCCCGCCCACATCTCCAGCATGCTGCAATCATTGGTGGGAAGATCCCTTTCAGATGTTCCTGGCATGTAATGTGATATATGTGGTGAATGGAGGTGAAAATTTTTCATTAATGCTGAGATTTCATATATGGGTCTTCCTTACAGAATTTTTGCTCATATTTTGAGCATTTTCTCTCTCTCCAGTTTTATCACTTCTGAGATTTAAACTGAAATCTGCTACTAAAATTCTAGTTATAAAGTACAATACTCTGGAAACTGGATAAAGAATGGTGTTTGTGTATAAAGTGAGTAAATAAATGAAACATATATCCCTGTCCCCAGTAATTGCAGGCAATTGTGCTCTTTGTGTCTCAGCTACACTCTTTACGTGGTTACTTAGCGTGCGAGCTTTCAAAATGGCTGTACTTTTTTATACTATTGAAAATAATAGTATATTATTTTCCTCTATACCTCTAAATTCTAAGGTAATATGCTCTGTGAGGTTTGGAAGATATATACATTTTACAAGATACATGTTCATTTAACAGATCAAGGACCATATTATCATTTTAATTAGTGAAATAATCATTTTATCTATTCTACTTGTATTTTTTAAGGAAACAACTCTATTCCCCAAAAAATGTATATCTTTATTGTGATTAAATTGCTATCATACTGAATAAAAGCAACATAGTATATGAATGAAAATGGAATCAAGAACTTACAATTTACATTCTAAAACCTTGTGCAATTCCCCAAGTCTCTGTAACGTCTCTGTGGGTGCACGTTGGCATATGAAATGTTTAGATCTTCTCTGTGTGCTTTTCCACATGCTGAAGATAATTAATGCTTCCCCAGGACAGTGACACACTTTGGCTGATTGCTCCTTTCCAGATGAGGTTATTGGGGCATTGGCAAGGTAACCTCTGTTCTCTTTCTGACTAGAAGAAGACAGAAAATTAATAAAACTTTGATTCACTTATCTTCAGTTCCAAAGCCATGTTCCTTGATACCCTCCTTGTCTTACACGGTCAGCTCTGCTATTTTGTACAAGGAAATAGCCTTCAGGGTACGAAGAGAGATCCGTGGGTTACCAAAAGGATTTTCTTCCAAAGAGAATGTCCTGTCTAGCTACATAGGACTTCTCTTAAAGACCGCCTGGAAGCTACAGCTTATCTGGAATGCAGTGATGTGTGCACTAATGGGCACACAGTACCACAATAGGCCAGTATGGTATCTATTCAGAACTTTTTGTGAGGAAAGGGGAGGGGAGGAGACAGAAGAGAAGGGGAGGAGAGGAAAGGGAAAAGGAAGGAATCAGTAGAGGAACTGACAAGACAAGATACAAAGACAGAGGAAAATAATAGAAAATTAATAAATACAAAAAAAGGTAATGGTGGCAAGGAAATTGGTGATATCTTGCAAAGAATGTAGGATTAAATTGATAGTTTATTAATAAAAGGAAATCTTCCCATAATTAAGAGCATAAGCATGAAAAATGGATTGAATAATTCCACCCATCTGAGTAGGGATCATTGTGGTGATCAGACTTTGCGATCACTGCAATGAGTACAAAATAGGTTAATGCCCCTAGTAAATAGTTTGACATTTCTGTTTATGTTTAATTATTGTTTTAGAAAACTAATACATTCCTGAGAAAATGCAAATGTGTTTCTCTTTATCCCATTACCCAGAATAAGCTCCTAGGTATAAACACAATGATATTAATATATCTAACTGTCCTTCAGTTTTTTCTGGATCCTGTGTGTCTATCTATCTAAAACAGTGTTTCTCAACCTTGGCAACTTGAAGATGTCCGGATTTCAACTCCCAGAATTCCCCAGCCAGCATTCGCTGGCTGGGGAATTCTGGGAGTTGAAGTCCGGACATCTTCAAGTTGCAAAGGTTGAGAAACACTGATCTAAAATCTATAAAGTTTTGTAGTCTGTTGTACTTGAATGAGATTTTACCTCAGGATTCTTTTTAAAATGTTGACTGAATTTTGTCTCTTTTTTTTCCTCCTGAGATGCTGGTAGTGCTTTCAGAATTCCAGATATATTTTCTCAGAGCTTGATTTCATCATTCTGTAAGGTGGGGAAGTTAAACTTTGTTTCCTATTTCTTTATTCAAAAGAAAGATTGGCATCCCAAAATCAGAATGCCTGGATTAATTAGCGTTTAATCAAGAGATGGCTAATTTAAAAATGAAAAGTTAGAACTATACACACACTGTACAAGTGATCAATCTTTTCCTTCTAAAAGGAAAACATTCCATATTTTATATTTATTTATGTACACTACTGCTTTTTG